AAAGCTGGGCAGACGTTGGGCAATTTATTCATCGTTCATGTTGCGTTTACTCACACTACTTGTCTAATCAATATGTGCACAGTCAAAATATACCACTTATATGTTGTAGAGTTGATTAATCAGTCACGATGTATGTGACCACAAGTGTCAAAACATTTCAATTACTCAAATGAACACGAGTCTTAGAAATCTAAAGTTATTAAGTCCATTTCTCATTACATTTGTTCCATTGCTCTGCTCAGCTCTATCGTTGGACAGTAAATATGTACAGACACTGTTGTTTATTCTACAGAGTCTACTGATTTATTGTATTTACTGACCACAAACAGCTTTCCTGGCCACAGCAGAACTTCAGAAGTCCCATCTTCTCAATGGAATGGCATTTATCTTTTTTGGTAGAGGCCTAATGTGTCCCAACACCTTTAACTGACCGTCTCTATATTGAACACAACCCAAACTGATATCAACCGTCCATCAAACTCTCTGTAAGACATAGAACAAGCCCATTTCCAAATTGCAAAGACATGTAGTGTCACTGGGATCACTAACGTTAGTAAATCTAGTAACACAATGTCAAATTTGCAAGGCAAAATACAGACGGTTTCCGGTCAGTTTCCGACTTGAGTACATTCCAACAATACGACCATTTCCTCACAAATGTTGGCAGAAGAGAGAGATGCAGTGCCATTTGGTCCAATTCTATCTTTTGGGGTTTATTAGATTAAACAGATGGATGGGAAAAGGGGAGAGAGCAATTTTCAGGTTTGCAAATATTACAGTACTGTACTTATAACAACTACAACATGTATATTCTTACTCCAATAACAAATAGTACAAGTTTACCTCAGTTTATCTATTTTGACAGTAGCCGCGTGCAAAACCAGAACAGTCAAACCAAATTTCTGACATGGAGCCACAATAGCCGTATTGTTGATCAACGTAAATTGGTATCATGACCCTCCTAAAAATGAAGCCAACCATGTTGAAATTAAGCCAGCTTTTAAGATCCGATTGCAGGGTTCAAATAAAATGTTATCCATACAGTGTCATCAAACTCAAGCGGCAAATATCCAAGATGTAGACCCTATAGTTTTAAAAAACCCACAAATCCTCTAGTGTGACTTAGATAAAGCTCAAAGTGAAGCATAACATTCCCAAAACAGAAGGAGACAGTCACAAAAAGATATGAAGGATAAATCTAAATAAGTTTCACTGTCTGTTTTACTCATTACTGGCTCCTTGAAGTAGCCCCATGGGGTAAACTGAAAGGCCTCACAGTGCAGACGGGATCATGGGAGAGGCACAAAAGAGTCCCTTCAGCCTGAGACTGGCTCTGTCCTCACACTGTGATAACAACATCCTCCAAACCGCTGCCCCAACAGACGGCATGGCTGATCAACAGACTCCTTTTATTGTCATTTCACAAAAGCGTTGATTTAATCTGTGAGGCATCAGGTCATTGGAATGAGAAGTGACTGCAGCCATAAGGAATTTGTGATTAGGATTGTGATACACACAGGGTGCTGTGCAATAAAAGAAATTCAGAGATGTGACCTCCTTCCAAACCTCTCCATAGAAAGAGTGTAGTCTTTGTGTCTGTGGATGGGATGAGTCGACGAAGACAATGAGACAAGCTTTGCCGTGGCATTTAGGTCCATGGGCCCACAGTGTCTATAGTGTTGATTATGTGGTCTCACTATCCGTACCGAAAAATATGTGCTCATATAAATCCTTTTCAGGCGATTATGACCCCGGGTGATGCTCTCCATCATTCAACTTTACTGGCCCCTGCACAGAAGTTCATGGTAAACTTGCCAAGTGTTTTGATAGGGTCATCCCAAAGCCATTAGCTAAATATCTTAGCAATAAATAATAAATCTCCGAACAAGTGAATGAAGTGTCTTGTTAAATGGATAGATCAGGTTCCGCAGAATTTCACTTTACCTCATAACTCAGAGTGAAACAATCCCATGAATGCCTTATTCATCTCTCTGCATGAGGTTTATAGTGCGTTAAGTGTTTAACATGCTCAACTGAATTGCTAATATTAAAGTGCGGGTTCACACAAGTTGGAAAATATGTAAAGATACACTGGGAACATCTAAAGTGATACTTCTTTTTACCAATTGTATTATTGTATTTTTTGTATGCAGATTTGTTTTACCTGAATATAAAGTTGTGAAACGTACTATATCGCTATCAAATTTTGTATTGACTTCTTCAAATGTTTTCCAAATTACTGTTCGTATTAATGAACTATGCCGTGTATACTTTAAATACTAAATGGAGCCCCAGCTTGTTGTATTGATTTTAACAGGCCTGAAAATATTCATATACATTTTTTTCAATATGTTGAAAAGGACCCACAATGAAAACTGTTAACAGACTAAGTGATAATGCCAGATATTCAAAAGAGATTAATATAGTAACGATTTTTCCCCAAGCTTTTTGGAGAGACAGCAAGCGCATTTCGTGGCATCTGCAGGCAGTGGCAAGTACTTCCGGCATATGCCACAGAGGCCGCTACTCTGTGGTATCTGTGACAAGTACTTCCGGCATATGCCACAGAGGCCGCTACTCTGTGGTATCTGTGACAAGTACTTCCGGCATATGCCACAGAGGCCGCTACTCTGTGGTATCTGTGACAAGTACTTCCGGCATATGCCACAGAGGCCGCTACTCTGTGGTATCTGTGACAAGTACTTCCGGCATATGCCACAGAGGCCGCTACTCTGTGGTATCTGTGACAAGTACTTCCGGCATATGCCACAGAGGCCGCTACTCTGTGGTATCTGTGACAAGTACTTCCGGCATATGCCACAGAGGCCGCTACTCTGTGGTATCTGTGACAAGTACTTCCGGCATATGCCACAGATGCCACAACTTGCCGAGGCATCTGCCGCTGCTCAACAGGAGTTGCCACAAGATGCGAGAGAGTAAGAGAAGGTTCACTGTAGCTGCCACTCGCCTTCCGTGGCAAATGCTGCTATTTAAACCCATATGTATCGTGTAAAATGTCGCTGTTTAGGCATGACTTTATCGAACTGATCTGTACACAGGACTGATGATCTGTACACAGGGTTGGGTTGTAGTGAATACATTTTGGAATACTTATTGGAATTATTGATGGAAAAGTTTCCTCACAAAATGTATCCTAATATTCATTACCGGCAGAAATGTGTGCACAGCACAGCAGCATGTCTGTGAGGCCCCGCCCCCGCACGCAGATGAGAGAGAGATCTCTTTTTAAATATATTGAAAGTTAGAAACGGAGATGGTTCGATAAAACGTGCAAGATAACGTTTATGTAGCATTTCTTTATTGTCGAAATGATGACATTTCATAACTGGATCAAATCAAAGTGAATGGCCTGCTGCTGCTGAAGGCATGGGGCAAATATAAGTCCTTTGCCTAATTTATAAAGTAAACCTTAGCATCTCACTAGCAGTGGCAACTGCAATCAGTTACAGCTGCCCTAAGTCTGTAGCCAAGTCTAATAACACCAGTTTACACATTGCTGTGTCAATACAGATATTTATTTGTTAATTATTTGTCTTTACTAGTCATACACCTGGTTTATTCTTTCACACACACATACGGGTATTGGGCCGAGGGCGACACCGTACTTCCGGTATCCGCCATTTCACACGAGGTGCAAGCAGTCTATTGCCTTAATCAATATCTAGTCAACTCTAAAATACCACATATATGCAATGGCATGATAATATTATTGTGACAAGTGGGGTATTCACCTGGTGTTTCCAGAGATTAGACGTAGATGCAGCCAAAATCGACGAAGGCCACTTTCGAGGGTCGTTTTTCCATACATCTGCAGGCAGTCTGTAAGGGCAATCCGACAACCCACACAGCTCTAGTTTACGCTGGTAACGACCTAGAGCACACCCCTCAAGTCCAGAGATGTAATCCGAAGACATGCAGCGATTTCTTCGGTCGTTAATTCAGAAAAAAAACCTAGTGCGCTCTGCCTGGCTACGTTAGCTAGCTGTTTATATTTGCACCTCCAAGATATTTGCACCTCCAGGAAAATGGCGTATTTATATATATATATGGCTCGCGTTGCATTGTGGGTAGCTCGTGACGTCACTGTGTGAAAGAATAGTAGCAAGCAGTGGAAACTCCCCTCAAGAAGCGACAATTGCCAAGGGCGTTGCAACCCTCACTCGCCAATATTTTAATCATAGATATAGCTCGTTTGTTTATTTTAGCAAACCATTCCCCAAGTAAAATTGAATAGAAATGATAATGTATAATCTTTTTGAAAAATAGAGATCGCAAATCAGTCCTGTGTACAGATCAGTTCGATAAATTCATGCCTAAACAGCGACATTTTACACGATAAATGCGGGTTTAAATAGCTGCATTTGCCACGGAAGGCAAGTGGCAGCTACAGTAAACCTTCTCTTACTCTGGCATCTTGTGGCAACTCCCGTTGAGCAGCGGCAGATGCCTCGGCAAGTTGTGGCATATGCCGGAAGTACTTGCCACAGATACCACAGAGTAGTGGCATCTGTGGCATATGCCGGAAGTACTTGCCACAGATGTCACAGAGTAGTGGCATATGCGGGAAGTACTTGCCACAGATGCCACGGAGTAGTGGCCTCTGTGGCAGATGCCGGAAGTACTTGCCACTGCCTGCAGATGCCACGAAATGAGCCAGGCCCTACTGGCTTTTTGATAACTGTAACTGGTTGATCACTGGTCCCAACGTATTTAATAGCACGGCTAGCTGATCCCCTTGTTTCCAGTCTTTGTGCTAAGCTAAGCTAACAGGCTGCTGGCCGTACCTTCAGAACTACAGACTCATTTGTTCGTGGTATCGTTCTTCTCAAAACAGCAAATAAGCCAGGTTAAAGACACTCAATGTAATATAACCAGGCCCATGTGGATGTCTCTGTTTTTAAATAATCAGGGCATCATTTTATAAGATTGTAATTTACTGTACATTTCACTATGAGCATATTTAAAGCTAATTGTCTTACCTTGACAAACGGTATCAGTCGTAGAAGTGCAGGCCTTTAACATCATATCGTCATCGCAGGTGGTGCAGGGGATGCAGGGCTCCCGAGAGCTTTCCTGGTCCGAGTATGTGTCCTCTTCGCACTCCTCGCACACCGTGTCATGGTCAAACTCGCAGCTGTACAGCATCCCCTGGCCCTCAGGACATTTTGTGCAGTGCTCACACTGTTGAGAGATTGTATTCAAGTAGTAGCTGTAGTTGCAGACACAGGTGGCGTCGTTGGAGTCTGTGCAGGGCGACTTCATGCGGAGCAGACCTGAGCACATTGTGCACGGCTGACATGTCTCTGTTTGACTCAAGCTTTCTGAGAAGGTTTCACCTGAAAGGACAGGGAAGAAAACAGCCATGAAATGTTATCAGCCAGAAGTCTGACCTTTGTTTCATCAGACATCATTTTGAAAGCATGTACAATACTTTATATGCACAATACTTTGACATGGTTGGTGTCACTCCAGTGTCGAATCTCTTTTTCCTTTTCAATTTAGACAGAAGACTGTCTCATTTTAAGTGTGTTGAAAAATGTGATATTCAAATGATTGTGATTGCATAGATGAAAAGCACAATCCCACTGAAATATGTTTGCATTTTACTCCTTTTGACTTTAAAGTGTTCTTCCTTCTACCTGATTACAGATCTGGAAGTGATTTGTCATGCTTTTATCTCAACATCTTGGTATTAATAATCCTTTATCCACTAATTGAACATCTCCTTTTTCAAATGTCCACCTGAAATAAAAGCAAACAGACTAAAATAAACATTACATTTCCACGCAGCTAGCTATTCTGGAGCGTATTTTTCTGCTAAAATACTTTGTACTGTATAACACTTCACGCCTTTATTTAGGTACTCACACACACACTTCTTATCCGCTTTTATTGAATCGTTTTCCCCTTTATTTCAGTTTTAATAGTTTAGCCTTTTACTTTAGTTTTAAAGTGTATATTCTGTTTTTAAAAGCAAAGTGTTAAGTTTCTAATTGGATCATATCTATGCAAAAGTATAGTTGTTATTTCTAAATGTAGGAAATGCTTTCTATGGACAAATTGGGATTGAGCTGTCCAAAGTCACAGTAACACGGGAATTCAGTGTAAGGGTCATCCTCTGTGGTGGATATGTAACTGCATGGGTCACTTACAATAACTCATATAAAATAAATGCAGCAACACTGTCTTTTTCAGATGATGCTCGTACATAAATCACATGTGTTTCATAAATGCTCTATCTACCTGACAGATATATCTGCAGAGGACGCAATCAATATTTCATGTTTTATGGAATTGTGTTTCGGCTGAATAGGGAACTGGGAAACACACTAAATTATGCAACAGACAGATGTGTGTGTGCGTGTGTATGTGTGTGGGGACTGTGAAAGTATGACCTCAAAACCTCTTCAGTATTTCTAAACTGTTGACAAGCATCATTTTCATTTATTTGAAAGTGAAATACTTTTTAAATGATCTTAAACTTAATATCTTTTACTTTTGAATTATTACTGGCACATAACAATTGTTTACATACCGTCATTAGGTGTGAAAAATGTACGGTTCACCATTTTCTTCAACTTCATAAACCAAACCACACCCTCAAATGTCTGAAAAAATCTATTTCAAAAGCAAGCTTCCGGACAGAGACCTATTTTTGACCTAAACTGGTGCTGCAACTATTATTTACATTTTTTAGAGCGGTTTCATTCATCTACTGATAAATTGAACTGTTGTCGGAAAATGTCCATTACAATTGGCCAAAAGTGTCTTCAAATTGCTTGTGTGCCAACCAACAGTCTAGATTCATTTTGTAATAAGTTGCAAGGAAACCCATTTTAACAGCTGGTACTAAATTATTTTATTATTTTTTTATTTCAGTTTAAACCCAACCCAACTAAACTGAGTGTATTAGGAGATAAAGGGAGTTGTGTCACATGGCTTATCAAGTTTTCAGTGCGTGTCTCCGGCCCACCAACCACAGCGAACTCTCTGATGAAGCAGAGATGAAATCCAGAGATGAGGACGGATAAACAGAGACCAATGTTTGTCCTTAAAGACATAACTGGGTCATTTGAGATGAATACATCTTAAATTGGTTTGGTCCAACGTGGATCCTTTTACATTTTTGTTTAATTATGTCTTTAAGGACAAACAGCGGTCCAGTCTTACACTGTTCTGTTCTCTCCCCCCCCCCGATCCCCATTATCTCCTGCATCCTCTCCTCAAACAGACACACATCCTCAGACTACCCTCACCCACGCACGCTCTCAGAGCCATTATCATAATGCCATGCATCAATAATGCAAGTTAATACATTAATAACGCTAGCCTGGAGCATGGGGGGGGGGGGGGGGGGGGGGGGTGACTAAGGGGGGGTAGGGGGCAGTCTTTTTACAGACAGTCTTTTCCTGGCTCAGCATATTGAACCAGAACAGTGCTTTAGTCAATTGAACCCTTTTGTTTTTAACACCCTTAAAGGACTCCTTACTTTACTGGCTACAGAACAGGGTGTGTGTATGTGTGTGAAATACCCTATTTTTAGGATAAATAATTAAACAATTTAATCCAGGCTTGATTGATTTATAATCTCTTGTTTGGCTTTATGATCGCTAAGGGGATCATTTGGTTTGAGCCGTACTTGATCGTTAATTAATTAATTAGGATGTGCTGTTTTGATGGTTGTCTTTATTAGGTTGTATATGAGGGTTTTAAAGTTACGACTCATGTCATCACATTTTACTTTAATCTGTCATCACCCATAGAACACAAACATTCAGAAAAAAGAATGTTGGCATCCATTGCTTTTTTTTCTAATTTGAATGGCATTTTGAGAACATCTGCAAAAGAACATTGGTATCCAGAAATCCTAACCAGAAACCAGTAAAAAAAACACCTATTAAAGTTGAGACGAGGGAACAGGAAGTGCTAAATGCTGACACATTTAAGGGTTTTGGAACTCACCATTTTATTGGGAGTGTGTTCATTTATTAATGTGAGGAAGACAAATCATTTACATGCCATTTGCAATCACGTTTTAAAGCTTGATTAGAGCTCCTCTTTGACAGTATATTAAATGTAGTGATAATTGTTCCTATGCTTCAAAATCATATTTAGATGTGAGGGATAACATCCAGATACAAATGAGTGTAAACTGTAATTAAAGTACTACATATATTTGTACAATTCATTGGTATTTTTGTTGAAATCTTTAATAAACTGAACTGATGAGCCTTGGGTGATTATGTGGTCTCTAGTAAATGAGTGATGCTAAAGGACAGGAAGAGAAAGTGGAAAAGACAAATAAGGTCAGTCCATGTCTGTGTGTGTTGAGTAAATGTGTGGGAGGTTTGCGTGTTTGTGTTTGAACCATTAGCTGTTGGCTGAGAAGTTGTCCATATTCCAGCTGCCCTGTTTCATATCCACCCATCTGTTCATTCATCCAAACTCCTCCATGCGTTTCAGCAGACCCTCCTTTTGAGCACATCTCGGCCCCTGTTAGCTATCTGTACTAAATGAAGCCTGTACACTGTCTGGACACCGCAGTCTGTCTCTTATAAATGCATGATCCTATCAACTGTGGGCAGCAGGCCTGAAACAACACGAGTGGGAGTCGATGTTGAAAGATAATTAGTAAGAAAGATTGTCAGACATCAAATATGAATAGTTTCTACTCACATCAGAGTGAAAATGAAGTTACATAGGACAAAAATGCATCTTTAAGAGCATATATGCAGTTTACGTACTACATTATATGATTATACACAAACTGTAACCTACATGCTAAGCTATTATAAGCACGTCCACTGCATAGTACATGATACTAAACCCTGCTTTGGCTTTCTATTAGCAAAATTGTGATTACTACCTGGTGCTTGAGAGTTGACGTTTTAAGCAAGCTAAGTCAATATAAGTGCCTTTAAAATGCTGCAGCCCACTGATTGGTCAGAGATAATTGTCAGGATACAACTTGCACAATCACTCCGTTTTTAAAAGCCAAGCTGCCATATGACAATAGTGATTCTAGAATATTTGTATTCCTCAACCTAGATTTGAAAAAATGGCTGCTTGTAAACCTATGCTGTAACTACGCTGAACATGCAGAGAAATGCAGTCGTTCCTCTGTTTGAAGAAGATGAACGGATTCAGCGAGGTCTGCTGAAGATGCACTTTCACATGTCCGTGCAAAAGCGATCAGCTGATAATGAGGCCTAGACTTGGGCACTACCATCTGCATTGGAAAACCAAATAAAGACCTTGTACCTAAAGTTAAACGAGTGAAGTCCTGCAGTAATAATGGGGTAACTGTCAATAGACAAACAACCGACTAATGTTTCAGTCTTGTTATTGTAATGCTTTTTCATACTCGCACTGCAGCTCTATCAGCTTACATTACTGATGAAATCAATATGTTTGTCCCATTCTTAAAATATCATTGGGATGTTTCTGGTGGAGAGCTCTATCTGCTTTGCATTTCTCTTTTTCCATGAGCGTGTCTGGCCTCGTGACAGTTTTGAGAGCCTGCCACAGTCTGTGTTTATTCATGTCTGAGCAGAACGAGCACTGGAGAGAGAGTGATATTTATCACCCTGTGAGCCTTCATGTTGTGCAACACAGAGCTGCAACCACAGAGACACAGCTAATGTCTTTATTAAAATAACTTTAAACCTTAAATTGGTTCTGTAGCAATGTGTACATTTCTGATAAGTAGTCTAGGTATTTGTATATCTTTACAAGGCAACAATATATTATAATGATGTAACTCCTGATCTGACACGCACTTCTAAAATCATAAATCATTCCAAATGAAAATATAAATAAATCATTTCTCTATGTCTTTATTATGACTTCTCCCATGACCTTACGTCTTAATATTTCTCTGAGTGAGAGGCTCCTTAGCTCAGCGTTTGTCATCCTTCACTGACCCAGGGTTTTTGACATCCACTTCCTCGCCTCGACGCAGGATAGTCAGGGAATTCATGAGGAAAAACTCTGGGAACAGTTCAGGAACTGGCTGAGGACCAACCCTGGCCTCTGCAGGCTTAACTGACCTTTGATCTCACATATAACTGTTGATTTGTTTTCCCTGCGCTCAAGCAGAAATATACCTCTTGAGGAAGATCCTTCTATGTCCATTTGGGCTCTTTGGTCTGCAGTTTACAAACGATGCGTTTTAATCCCAGTGCCAAAACAACTTGTCTGATGCTTTTCCACTGAAACACATTTTCTAGCTGGACCACCTCTTGAATCCTCTCAATATCGGTGTCCTCATAAAGCCTTACGGTCCAGCACAGCTTCTCTCCCTACATGGTAAGGGTCAGGAAGAGGGCAGTAATGCTGGACCACAGATAGGTCCGGCATCTTTTCTTCCTGCTGTCTAGCTCAATAAGTTAAGGATTTACATTTCGTATCTGCACAATAATGGATCCAAACTGATTTAAAGGTGTATTATGTTTAGTAATAAAAAAAAACTGGGATCTGTTTTTTATCCACACCAGAGGCAATTTCAGGCAGTTGGTGAAAACTCGACAATATCTAAGATCAGATGGATTTCAATGAAATGATTTTGATGATCCTCTGACGTTCCATCAAGCTCACTTCTTCTCCTTTAAAAAATAAAAACTTCTGGATTGATTGCCATAAAAGGAGACAATGGACTTTATGACCTTGGATGATCCCATTTTCATTCAGCGCCATATACAGGTAGAAATGTAATTTCTTCAATACCAGAGTTTGTAACCAATCTTCTCTAAACCAATGTCATTCTCATTAGCCTCAGATATACTTTCTTAAGTGCCTTTTGCAGAGAGTGATCACTCAATTGCAAGACTGCTGCCTTCTTGCTCTCAGTTTTTAGTGCGTTGGTGTCATGTGTAGTGTTATTTGTTTGACTGGAAAAAAACAGAAGGCATTTTAATCGCCTCCTTTTTTTCCGGCTTTGTCTGTTTGTCCATCAGTAGGAATTTGGGAAACATTTCTCAACCTGATGTTCATGAAGCTTGGGGGAAGGGACAGAAAGGAATACATGACATGAGTGAGGGACAGAGTGTGTGACAGCTGTTTTTTGTGTTACTCACTGTCCAGGCAGGCGGTGCAGTTGGTCTGCTTGAGTCCGCAGCGCCTGGTGACGCCCTCCCCGGGCAGACACTGCTTACAGCATTCTCCGGTGTATGTATACTGTCCCGACAAACAGTCCTTATTAGCTAGAGCCCCAACCTGCCAATCAGAATAGAGATCATTGTGAGTGGGACAAGCAAAGAAACAATTGCATTCAGCAGCATCCAACAACAACACACAAAAGGACCTAATTGTTATAGTTACAAAAACTGTATTTATTGTCCCGAATTGTAAAATGCAAGCAAAGCAAAGATGTTTTTTTCTCTGTTTCCAGATGCCTGGAACAGATATAAACGTTCTGTATTTCACAAGAAAAACAATAGAAAGAAATACTTTAATCATCCGGGGTATCCTTATAGGTTTACTTTGGAACTGCTAAAAGTCCCAGCGCAGTGCAACAGGATGCAAGATAAATATAAGAGGGTGTGAGATGATTAATGGGATGGGAGAGAAGAAAATGCTGATTTCAACACACAAAAATGTAATTTGTTCTGGCTTCTTTTTCTATTCTCTATGTGCTTGTAAAATATATAATTACTTTTTCTTTTTGAGCTTCTAAAAAGATTAAAATGAAACAATTGGAGGAGGAATAACTCTTCTGTTGCGCAGCTTACAACACGTAGAAACAATGTGACGTCTTTGACATGGGTTGCAATGCTTTACTTTCAAAGGGTCGAGATTTGGTCTTATCCACATTTATACACATGTATAACACTCACATGAACCTTACATCTAATTTTCACTCTAATGCATCTAGTTAACATATTTCAAATTTCTCAGCAACGACAAAATTCCCAGTAACAGTTTTAAAAGTTAAAAAAAAAAAAAAAAATCACAGTTAATGATGGGTTGTGTGTTCTCTGCGTTCTTCAAACAATAACCTGTTGAGTGCTTTATCTTTCCTGATGTCAGGTGAAAGATGTTTATGCTTGCTGCTACATTTGCATGAGAGTACACGCTAACATTTCACGTCAGGGCCTGGATGTTTCCAGAAGTCTCTTTTTTGTGCGACCTTATGCATTTTACCCTACTTTTTTTCTTTCTCCCACGGGGTCCTTTTATTTTCTGCAAACTTTGATAAAGTAGAGTAGAGGCTTGCCCTCTGACACCCAGCCAGCAGAAGCCTGTCTTTAATTCAATCCAGATACCTGAGGAGGGATTGTTTTTATTTATGAGGTTATCTTGTTATCCTGTTGACAGCAACTCGCTGACTTGTTGACAGACAAGATCATTGTTTTTGATTTAAGATCTGTAATAGCTGATGTGGGATTTCAAAGTGCAGTTTCCTCATGTGAATCATTTTTCTCTTTGATAGATTTAATGGTTTCCAGATCATGTTGCCTGCTGTAAGATTGAGCCGTGCACTAATAATGACATTTTGAGGTAGGCCTGAGAAATATGGATCAATACAAATGTCCTGCATACTGTATATATTTGTTGTTTAAATCATTTCTATCAAGACATAGGCTAGGCTTATTTTCTGTAATTTCCCTTAGAAACTGCATTCATATTGCACTAAAGTCCTTAAACTGTGTCAATACTTTATTTGTGAAGTTTATAACTCACAGAGGAGTGTTGGAAAAAGGCGTTACCATGATGACCATGTTTATAATTTAATATAAAACATAAACAATGTCTTCCTGAGTTACCAGAGAACAAGCTATATCTTGCTGTAAAGTGTCATTGAGATAATATATGGCCTATATTTTGAATGATTTTTTTTGGCAGACCAGTTAGTTCGATTAAGGGTGTGTGTGTGTGTGTGTGTGTGTGTGTGTGTGTACTGGGGAAGGCTGAAGGCGGTATGCTCGGCATAAATCGTCAGGGTTGAGGTGTGTGTGGAATGTTGCTGACAGAGACAAGCTCTGAAAAACATCAAGTGTCCCCTCAGGCACTTGTGAGTCAGCTGGCAGATAATGTGTGTCAAGCCCTTGGGTATATTTGCAGTTTTCCCCGCTTGAAAGGGATGGTACAGTTCATAGGAGGTTTTCACTGGGTTTCACTCGTACAATGACCACAACTTTGTTTCTTTTGAGTTCTTCTTTACTTTGGTATTTGTTGTTGCAGTACAGCTTATGTTGTAAGGTTGTAAGGTTGTAAGTTGTAAGGTAAAAAACCTTAAATGAAAAATAAAAAAATAATTACTGTAAATACAATGCACATCAAATAATAAATGAAAAAATACATGCTTTACATATACTTTTTAACACTTGTGAATATTGTTCTTACTTTCTTAATGTATTTTTATGAATTATGTTTTAAACAGTTTTTAACTTATGCAGTCTCATTAAAAATGCAAATATAATAGACTGAATTCTTAGCAGCATGCAAACCGTTTTTACCAATCTACATATCTCAATAAACAAAACACACTCGTTTTTAAATCAACAATCATGTTGCTTTTAGCTTGAGGACAACAAACAAACAAATGACACTGAACTAGAACGCACGTTCTAACGTTTGCCATGAACGGTAAGTTGTATGACTTGATAAACACACAGTTCGTCTCTCACCGGCCGCTTCTCCAGCTTGTTATGGCTGCACCAGTGCTGCTTCTTCGACGTTTATTCTGCTGGTTCGTTGCTGCTGCTGGACGGACGCTCTTTAGTTCGTCCCTTTCCAGCTTTGATTACTCCCTTCTTTCAGGTGAGTTGCTTTTAAAGGTGCAGCGACGCTGATTAGCAATTAGAGACTGATTTCAGACAGCTGCCACTCTGTCAATCAGCCCGACTTTTTAACCCCTTGATCTCCTTTGAGGATTTTTCAAGTTGACTTCACAACGTGTGTGAGTGTGTGTGTCTTTGTGCACACACGTCTCCCTCTTGACCTTGATGATGTCACGGCCCATTCACCTTCAACTCTCCGGTATTCAACTACGACGTGCGTGTACGAAACATGTGTATTCATCTTTGTGGGGGCGACTTTTAACATTTGGTGAGACAAGCCTGATATTATCGGAACATTTCCTGAAACAATCCTGATTTTACAAAAAAAAAAAAAAACCTCTGCGGACCAAAAAAACGTTGTTTTCCCCCTGCAGTTACTCTATTCGTGATTGTATGTTTTGATTTGAATTAAATGAATAATTCTGAATGCATTTCACTAAATAAACACAAAAATGCTTATCAGAAATATATTTTCTTGTCAAGTTTTCACTTGAGATTTTACGGTGACATTGCATTAAATAAAATAATTTGATTTATCTGTATTCCCTCTCACCAGTCCCTTTTGTATCACTCTCTACCACACACACAGCTTATACAACAAGCATTCAATTAGAGATGGATAACATCTGTCATCACACACGCTTCCCCTGCACTGCCCCCTTGTATATTGTACACACCCATCGGCACGCAGGTTTGCGCAAACGCATAAAACAGCCTTTCATGTGAACAAACCTGCTCCAACGACTGACTGACACTTTTGAAACAACTCCAAAAACCCGGAGCTTGGCTTCTACTTAGTCTTTCTTTGACCTATATTCTAGCTCCGGGTGTAAAGCGCCTCAAATGTAGAAAACTCAGATTAAAGTGCATCACTAATGACTGCTAAATTGTGCATACAGATGAATTACAGGGTAATGTAACTTGAGCAAATAGCTGGTGGAATGAAAGAGAATGATGCACTTAGCAAGTTTGAGCTCGACTTGCGAGTTTCCTGTAATTGATTACGAGAGGGATGTTTGGGATTTCAACTTTTGTTAGCCCAACTCCCTGCAGCTGAAGGAAAGCAAACGCACATCAACAATCATGTACTAAAGCATGCGCAGGAGCATCTGGACACATATCTCCAGAGCAACCCATCTTACTAATGCTGCAGTCAATTCTCTGTTGGAGGCACTTAACCTCATGGACCTCAGCTGTCAGCACTCGTTAGACCATTAGAGTTCCTCTATACCAGCCTTCCTACAAGATGGGCCTTATTTAGATCCAGCCATTGATCCTGATGAACATGGGCAATGACCAGTGGTAGAAAGTAGATTTACTCATGTACTGTACTTCAGTACAATTTTGAGAGACTTTGTACTTCTACTCCACTACTATTCAGAGGTAAAGTGTGTACTTGTACTACATGTATTTAATACCTTTAGTAACATTGCCGATTCTGATTAATGATATGAAATATAATAAACACTTAAATAACAATACAACTACACCTGGAGTAAATTCACAAGCTACCCTGCAGTATACAAAGTCATTCAAACTAGCTGTACCTTTACCAGCATTGACAACATTATTATAATAACAACAAAACAAATGGTATATATTATTAGAAAATTTACCAACTTTGGGTATATTTTGATGCTAATACTCTCTTACTTTTGCTTGAGTAACATTTGCAATGCAGGGTCTTTTACTTGTAACATAGTATTCCCACACTGTGGTACTTCTACTTTAATTTAAGTACAAGATCTGAGTACATCTTCCAACTCTGGCAATGACATTACAGCTAATGCCATCCCAAACAATGCTGAATCAACATCTGTTATGAAGATGAAGAGCAAACAGACAGAGAGGAAGATGAGAGGGTGAAAGGAGGAGAGGAAGAGTAAGAGGGGGTTGGATGGGCTGTATCAATATTGCATGTGCTGAGCCAGCAGAGGATGCATAGCCATCAGTGAGGGCAGCTGTCATGTATCAGTGCAGGCTGTTCTTTAAACAGGACCCTGGCGAGCTATGTCCTGTGACTCCTGCCAGATAGAAAACACATTTGAAAATATATTTCCTTCCTGAGCCTGCTTGGCCTGGGGGAAAGTAGGGAGATGATACAATCCCCAGATCTTCCTCTCAAGATTTATTGATTCCTGCTTTGACAAGGAAATTACAGTAAATCATCCTCATCAGTTAACACGTGGTTTATTGGCCAGCTCCTGCGCAGGGGCCACTGTGACAGTGTTATTGTCCTGCCGTCTGAAGGGCCACATGTAACTGAGAAGGGTGGAACTATAGAGATCCAGCAACTGGAGCTATAGAGTATCAACCTGAATGGCTGCTGCATACATCCGCTCTGCATTACATGAGACATTCAGGACAGGTGCAACGACAAGGAGTTTATAGTTTCCAGGGATAACATATCTGCTAAAGACATGTTTACAAGTAAAGATCAAACTAGTGAAATGTAAGCTGTCATAAAGTAGGCTAAATCTCACTTTGGTGCAGGTCTAACTTTACAGAGATTTTCCGGGGGATTCCCTGTCAAAACGTGATAAGGCTGAAGACTGGACGGAGGAAAAAGAGAGTTCATCAAATAAACAACTAAGACACGTGTTTAATGTGTTGAGTTGCGCAGGCGTTAAGTTTACGGTCGACATTTAAACACACTTTGTACTCACCACGCCGAGTAACAAAGTTATAAAAACGGACTTCATCCTGTTTCTCCTTGGCATCCTCACAGAAAAGTCAATCGGATAAAACGATGCGGGTCTCAGTCACTTCCACGTGAAATAAACTCGGCTGTCATCGCTGCTGCGCTTTTTCTCTCGAGTTGACTTCTAGGAAGAAGAAAAAAAGAAACTCTCCAGGTGCCTTCACGCTGCCAAGTGTGTGTCGCTGCGGAGAAATCTGTCAGAGCCGCTCACAGGGTCCAGACTGGGGATACACTCGCTGAGATTGACCCATTGGATGATCAGTGCGCTTCTCTCCAACTGGGCTCATATCACGCTCAGCTCAAAGGCTTCAGGGAAGGAGCCATCTCTCTCTCCACGCCCACTTCACACACACACACACACACACACACACACACACACACACACACACACACACACACACACACACACACACACACACACACACACACACACACACACACACACACACACACACACACAGTTATCTTATTAAAGGCTTGCACTGTGATGTTCTTGCCCAACCGGGAACATCTTGCATCATCATCTGACAAATTAATTCGTGATTGCTAGTGGTTTACTGCATTTTGCCAACTGCGTTAAAATCTCGCTGCATGCAGATTAAATGTATTTCTTTCTTGAACGTTCACTCTCTTGAGCATCCTCTAACACTGATGAGATCCAGCAGAGAGTTGTCTTTTTCTGCCTGGTGACTTTGAGATCCTGAAGTCTGACCTGACCTTATTTTTCTGTCAATCAGCACAGCCTGAAGACAGCAGTAACATCAACACACTCCCTGTGAATGCACCTTTAACACAGAAACCTGAGACCCAGGTATGCATGCATTGATTTGCAGCAGCATATGCAACTTAAATAAGAGTATGAGCTTGATTTGAATCCCATCCCGTTAATTAAAAACTTTATTATGGTGATTTATTTCTTCGTGTCACTGCTAGGAATCACACGGCTCTGATCAGAATCACTGCTGCCTTTATGTATAAGAAGAGGCATCTTCTGTCTTCCAACACCTGAGGCCAAGTGTTGGCCTGAAATAAACCTGGGAGCACATCGTGTTCATTCGGGTTTAGGTCATGACTATGCATGCCACCCTGCTCAGCGTGTTAGATGGACAAAGTTGTTTGTGAGCTTTACGGACAGATCATTTGTCATGTTTGTGCACAGCCTGCGAACTGAATGTACAATTCAGCAACACATGATGTTGGATCTATTTATTTAACAGTTCATGCTAAAGGTCACTGAACCAGTTGCTGCTCATACTTGCTTTCTTGTATGATATAAAGCGCCATTATTGTGTTATGTTTACTTTCAAATAGGCTCCTCTTGTAAACTTGTTAGCAGATGGAGACACTAATGTACAGTTGTTTAAAATATTTTGGCAGATATTGTGAAATTAGATAAGAACATGTACAAAAGTTGACATTAAGGCCCAAGCATGATTCTAAATTCCTTCAAAATAAAGTCAATATCTTAGTATGTATACGTTACATTCATGTATAATGATAAGTATATTACATTTACATAATGTTTATTTATGTAACTAGTTCTTAAAACATGCTAGGAGTTTATTTGTCTGACTTCTAAGATGAAGTAAGGACGTTTCCTCTTTGATTGAATCATCTTGAAGAGACAGTGATTTATAAAGAGCATGTAAGTAGGACATAGAGGAGGAGGGAGGAGGAAGCTGGGTTGCGGTTGCTATGTGTGGATAAATAAATCATGAGAGGGAGAAACAGACGGACAAAAGAAAATCAGAATCATTTTTTCCGGCCAAAATATAAGAATCTATTTTCAGCACTGCCCTTGTAATTCATAAAGGTAGCCACTAATGAATTAATCTGAAATCACTAACATTTAACATTATAACTTTTGTTTAGCTTTAACAATCAATCCTTTTACTTTTTGTTTTATAACCGTTAGAGAAGCACATTTTAATCGTTTTGAATGGGTAATTTTGAAGACTAAAAAAAAATTCAAAGCCGACATAAAAAGTTGTTTTATAGGACTGGAGAGTGATGGAATAAATAAACTGAGAAAAAGTAGTTTCATGATAAATCCCTCTTAGAGTGAGGATGCTTTTGAATGATCGGTTTTCTTAACTGTAAATGTCAAAATGTTACATATTATTTAAAAAACTAAAAGCATTTAAGGAAGCCATAGGCAATTTAAACAGCAAACAGGAGAACTATTGCCTACTTTATCTTTTATAAAGCATGCATTTGCGTATTCATCCGCCTTTGTTTACTGGTATGAAAAAGAGATGAGGGCATGCATATACAAAGACAAAGATCTAGCCTCACACACCATGCAGTCACACAGATGTGCACACACACACACACGCAGTAGCACACACACACACTCATTGACCATCTGTCACCAGTGAGTGGACAGAGGACGGGTGGTCCAGGAGACGTAAACCGTCCCATCTCATGTTCCGAGAAACTGATTCTGTTCCAGGTGGCTGGTCCTGTGGCAAATAGTGTGTGTGTGTGTGTGTGTGTGTGTGTGTGTGTGTGTGTGTGTGTGTGTGTGTGTGTGTGTGTGTGTGTGTGTGTGTGTGTGTGTCTAGTCTGTCCCAGTCTAGGTAAGCCTTCCATGCTTATGTATGTCCAATGTTTACATTTAATGATATTACCTCCCATGTATATCCATCTTAAACATGTACAAAATGTAAAACAAATGCTTTTCTTTCCACTAACACTGGCCACCTGTCACTCAAACAACAACAACAGAGGAGCACAGACAATGTGATCCTCAGCTTGCGAGCTTTCTTTCTCCTAATGCACCGTAATAGATGGAGAGGCATCATATGACGAGGCAAGGAAGCCCTTAAATGACTCTGAGAGCACTCACAGCAATAACTGGCATGAGAGAGATATCATGTTGTGTTCAGATAGCATTGCAGTGCCGGCGGAGCATTCCTCTTATGTGGTGTATTTGGTAAACAACCTCAAGTTCAGCAAACCAGCATCATCATGTGCAATAGAGCTTTGGACTAGTGAGTCAGTGCAGATATTCTTAATTTGGTTGTGCGCCTGCTGTGGAGATAAAATAGTGGGGTTAATTTGGTACCAGAGTGAACCTTGAGCAGGCCAGATGGCAACGAAACTCGCACCTTCCCGTGGGACCCCCTCATCTGCGCTTTATTGATCTGATCTGTCTTCCCCCTTGTTCTCTCTTTTTACTGTACACCCTCCCTCCTGCCACATCTCATAGGAGGAATAACGAAGTTGCTTGATTTGACATTAGAGGTCATTGCACATCATGTGAGAAATATCTCTTTTGAATACCGTGAGCCCTGCTCATTCCTCTGAAAACGTTGCACATTTCTCTATAATGCTACCTCTTTCAAAATCTACACACCCCTCCACTTTAAAATCTGATATACTGTATTTTTTCATATTTTTCACTGTTCTTAGTTATAGTGCACCACAAAGTGTATTCCTTATTCCTTATTCGGATTCTGATTCTCCTTACAGATTTAGATCTTTCACTGTTATCTGAGTCATTTAACCTTTTCTTGGATGTATAACTTGATATATGACCCAGCCAATCAAATATACAGATATACAAATGTAATGAGTAAATAAATGTTAAAAAGTGTTTCTACTAGGACGTAAAGATGCTTATGAGGTTTTCTCACTTCACTCCAAAACTCTCAATGAATGAATGAATGAGGCTCCTCTGTTGAGAACGTGTGACCTTTCAACTGGGACCTGGCCTCAACCCAGAGACAACGCACACTGTGGGTGTCATGACATTTTTGGCTCCTCTCCAACTTTTCCAAATGTACTATTTACTTGCACTATATTTTTCTGTTTATCTGTGTTTTGTGTTGCACTGTTGGAGAAGCCTGGGACACAAGATTTTCATCGTCATAACTACATGTATGTTCGTTTGACAAATAAAGAACCTTGAACCTTGTGCCTACGATGTGTACACAGTCATGTTTGCACCTTCATCCAGCATGATGTCCATGCATTTGTGCCTTTTTCCTTTGTTGTTTTCACTGAATCAATAAAAAAAAGTATTGATTTCAAAGTTATTTGTGTCTATGTTGCTGATATTGAAGGGGCTTTTTTGTGGGGGTGAACAGGCCTTTGTATTGATCAGATTTGGGCCGACAGTTGGATTCATCACACACACACACACACACACACACACACACACACACACACACACACACACGCGCACACACACACACACACACAACACACACACACACACACACACACACACACACACACACACACACCGGGGTAAAACCGGGCCTCAGGCTGTTGACAGTCAATGCAGCCCATTATGCATTCAGACACACAGATTTGGCTGATATGAAGCACATACATGCTCCCACAGACACAAGAGTAACCTGCTGAATCACAGAGGTACAGGAGGACATGTTTTACTGTATCTATTTAAAAGCTGACCAAGGAAAACTAAGGATCTGTTTGGTAGATTATCTTGTCTTGTGACGTGTTTTTAAAGGATGCAAGACAACAAATCTGAGAATATTGCAGTAACAAATTGAAGAGATACCCATCCAGGAGTAATTTGAGTTAATTATTGCCTCAATGAGAAATGCCTGTTTCTTTTTCTCACTCCTGAGGAAGATCTTTGAGATTGAACATTTTTCTTTGAATGAGAAAAAAAGAAATAAAATATGAATGTAAAGCCCAAAGGTGTGCAGAACTCCTCTGTCTATAGTCTCTGAGAGGTGTCTCTGTCAAACGGAACCATTTAATTCAATATTAGCCTAAAAAGCACGTCTTCTTTTTAGGTGACCTGGTTGAAGTTGTTTTTTGAGAGTTTATTTCGGATTAATTTCTCATATTTTACATTTCAGAAAATATAAAGGGGAAAAAAAGACTGTGGTACAACATGGAATTGGTACAGTTAATCTATTCAGGCTTCACATTCAGCAGATTATCTGTGATATGTTTCTAGGGAAGACTCTTACTCATGATCAATAAAAAATGGGCCTTGCATGAAAACCTGAACATTTCCGTTTCCACTCTCACCGATGATGCTGCTGCCGTAAACTAAGACAGTGCTGCCCCCTGCTGAGCAGCAGACATCAGTGATGTGAAGGGGAACAGCAGCCATGCATATTTACTGTTAGAATATTTTATAACAGCAAATTATATATTATATGTGTTTAGTTTGTTAAATGTTGGATTTTAACCACTCAATTAAACATTAAATTAGATTAAACACACTCAACAAACCTCAGTGTTTAATCTCCTTCACTGTACTTAAATTGTTGAATGATTTTATTTAGTTTGCAGCATTACCGAC